TGGCTTTGAATGCAGGTGCAAGCGCAGAAAATTTGCGACATGCAATTTCCATATTTTAAATGTGCTGCGCTGTGGCACAACAATGGCCGTGTTGGGGCTTTGTCAGGATAATAAGTGCGAGCTGCACTGATTTATTGGCTAATGCGCATTTCATGCTCGGGACAAGGCCAAATTAATTATTAACAAAGTGTTTGCGGATCAATTGTTGATTTTTAATTAAGGCACCTGAATGGCCAACACATTAAATGCGATTTGTGCGGCCGATAAACGCTGAGAGGCACGCAAAAAAATTAAAAGAAAAAAACGCGTTGCAAGCGCGACTTTAATTATAAACAAATAGCAGCAGATATGAGGCCATAGATAAAATAAACAACATAATTAAAAGCGAACAACAAGTCAAATAAAAAGTTGTCAATGGCGGACGACGTTATGAACTCGCGCGCGCGGGTCGCAGTTGGCACAAACATTTGTGCAAATATTTGGGCAACAGCGACGACATCAACTAATAGCTGAAGTATCCTTAACAAGCCCTTAAATACGACGATGCCAACCCCCAACCAAAAGCCCGTACTATTTACCCAAGCCTTTTAATGCAAAGCGCAAACGTCGCCGGTGGAGGGTGTCAACAGGCGCCCTCTGGCGTTGGGTAGCCCGTGCGTTGATAGCCTGTCAGCGATAATGTCACACATGGCTGGCCTCTCGCATCCTTGTGTGACTTTCTAATTAAAAATGTAAAACATTTGCGCTTGTCAAAGGACTACAATATCTAAATTGAATATTCTTTGAGCGCTGCTCACATATTCCTTTTTTTATTTTGTTGTTCAGCCTTGGAACTCGAGAAAGGACACGCTCGCATTCGAGATTGATTGAATTGAGCTATCGTTAAACAATCTCGAAATCAATATGAAGTGTAAATTATATGGAAATTCGAAAAATGAAAATATTGCGGACTTGATTCGCATTCTTAAATGAAGATATATAAGTGGAATTTTGGTATGATTCTTGGCATATGTACATCCATATATGCCATATCATACATATAAAATTGCTTGTTCTATTTGATTGATTGATTGATGATAAGCGCAGAGCCCTAACCGTAGGAGCTAGTAAGCTAACATTTTGACAGTAGTTAAATTGTAACAATTAGCTAGTAAGCTCATAATTTGGCGGTAGCTAAATTATAAGAAGAAAAATATATCAATCGCAACAGTGGAAAATTTTTGAAAAACGATTCTGTGACACTTTAATGTGTACAATTCGAATAGGTTAAGGCTCCGATGCAAGAATTTACAAATATAAAATAAAATCTATTAACAAAAAGAAAACTAAGCAGAATTTTTGGAGGGTTAAGGCTTAAATTTAAAGAATAAATTGGTTCGGCGAAAAATGGATAATACGCGCAGTTACAATATTTACGTTAGGCACTTTCAACAGTTAAGAAAATAATATTAATAATTATAATAAGAATAACATTAAAATATCTTTTTACTTGACTGCCTCCTGTGAGGATTGAACTCACGACCCCTGGTTTACAAGACCAGTGCTCTGCCACTGAGCTAAAGAGGCGTACGCTAAAAATGCAGCCCGATAGCCAGCACAAGTTGAAGAATTGGCGACAGTTGAATTTGTATCTATCAGTACGCTAGTAGATAACAATAGGATGTATCTAATTATTTTGAGTGCAGCTTGGCAATACTTGGTTCTTATCAAAGATAAAAACTGTGCAACCTGGAAGTGAATTTTTCAATTATATAAATTGATTTTTAAAAGTGTCGATTGAAGCACAGTTTGGAGGCAAGTCTATATATATGTGATATATGCCACAGTGATAAATGAAGTTTTAATAGTTATAGGTATATTTAAGAGCACCCACAGTTCTGTAGCATAACTCAATGCATAAGTCGATAAATAATAAAAATAATTAGAAGGATGCTTAAACAATCCACAAAAACTTTTTTCAACCTACTCAAATATTCATTCTATTGTCTCATTTATTTCAAGTACTTAGCCGCATTCACTTTCATATAAATCCAGATTAGAGTTAAGAGCATAACTGAAATATTCAGCTTTTATCATGTTTCTTTTTTTCATTGAAGCGTTTTGTTTTGATTTTGCAGCACTTTTAAATCCATCTATTCCCAGACCAGAGCCCTCAGCCAAAAGGTGGGCTGTTCGCACAGGTTTGCGGTTTAATCCTTCCAGACGAATGCGTTGAAATTATTTATTATGACGCAAAACTTTTTTTCTGCCTTGCGCCCGGCCGCGACACGGCTGCGCCCGTTATCTGACGCAAAAGAGCAAAAGGGCTCCAGCCCGAGGGTAAAAACAAAAAAAAATAATTTGAGCATTTCGTGAGTTAAGCTTTCGGCGAGACTTTAAAAGGTGGACAGTTCTTAGCGGGCGTTGCAAATAAAAAATTGTCTGAAAGCTGATTTTTCAGCGACATCAAACGATTTGCTTATGCGGCAAACATCGGGCGTAATTCTGGCATAATTGCTAATTTTGGCTGGGATAAGGATGTCGTAATGATATCCTGTCATTATCCTAGCAATGATATGACTATGACATTATTGTCAGTCTCCGACTGGAGCGAGTTAAAGGCAATGTAAATTCAATTTTGGGAAGTGCCTTTTTTATTTGTCTGGAACCCTAACCCTTTTTCTTAGCTGCTTCTTTTGAGTCTGATTCGCCATGCAGAAGTCATGTTTTCTTAAGTGTCTTATTGTTGGCAATTAGTGCGGCTTTAATTGCCAAGCCGTTAACAATTAAAATGCCACAAAATGTGGCAACTGTTGTGCTTTATGTTGCCTCGAGTCAACGCCCAACTGAGCAGAATGTTGGATAGGGCTGGCAAACACCTCAGCGGGGAGATTATGCCCATATACGCATTGACTGACCAGATCATTAATCCTGCGCCTTGTTAGCCCAAAAACAATTTGTCCAAATAACAATTAAGGCTACCAACCACAAGCTCGCACCCTCGCACACAAACCCCACACACATAGAGCCATTTGACAGTTGGCTAATGAAATCTGTTCTGTTCGAGTGAAAGTGACGCAATTGCAATCAAGTTACCATTGATTAATGATTTAAAGAACTGATTCCTCTTTGATTTATAAATTTCTTTAACTGCATTCGTTTAAATTTCTATATAATTTAAATGTTCCTTTATTCCGCATCGTTTGTTCCAGTCGCTCTTTGTCCTGCGTTTCAGTTTATGTTTACATCCATTAAAGTCCATTATTTCTGGTCAGTTTTTCTCTTCCTTTTTTTGTGCATTGTGCATCACATTTTTGGCACAACAATGACTTTTAGAAATGGAGGATATGACTTGTAGGTAGATATTATAAATTCTACAAAAACTAATGGAACTATTGTTAGGCATTGCACATTGGCACATTACAACATTTGTATAGTACAGAATTCGAAATTTTAATAAATCTACAGAAAGTAGGCATAATTTTTGTTTTAATCTAAAATATTTATAATTAAATCGAGAATAATAGGGAGAAAAACAATTTTTATATTTAACTATTTTATTGACTGTTTGTCCTGGCTGACTGACTGAATAACTAATTGGTGATCAACGCACAGACCAAACCATAAGAGCTAGGAAGCTGAAATTTTTACTGTAGTTACCTTATGTGAAGAGCGTGCACGTTAAAACGGGCTTTCGGGAAATTCCACCCGCAAGTATGGAAAAATCGCGAAAAATGTTTGTATGAAACTTTTTTGTTTACCATCCGATTGGCATCAAACTTAATTTCAGAGTTCTTTGTTCAAATTAATTTGAGGGGTGTTTCACACTTCACACCAAAATGTATTCCTCCTTGGTGGATATGGGGGTCAAGGATTTGGTGGGTAACGTTTCGCGCTCAAATTCATTTTCAAAGCTCTATATGAAAAATCATTTGAGACGTGTTTCACATTTTCGGTAGAAATGCGATTCAAAAATTTTTTGGGCGAAGTTTTAGGTGGGGTCCGATTTGCTTCCAACTTATTTTTAAAGCTCTACATAAGAACTTAATAAATACGTGTTAATTAGCGTGTGTTAATTAGCGAAAAACGTTGGTATGAAACTTTTTTGTTAACCATCGGATCGGCCTCAAACTCATTTTCAAGGATCATTGCTAATATTTATAAGAGGGGTGTTTCACACTTTTCGAAAAATCCATTACTCCTTGGGTGAAATGAGAGTCAAAGATTTGGTGGGTGGCTTTTTCCCTTCAAATTCATTTGCATGGATCTACATAAAAAAACAATTGAGACGTGTTTCAGATTTTTTGCAAAATCTTAGCTCCTTTGGTGGAAAGTGTATTTTAAAGTAATTTTTTGAGAATTTTAAGCTGTGACCGATTTTCATCAAACTTATTTTTAAAGGTCTATATAAGAATATAATGAATACCTGTTTCAGCGATTTGGAAAACATTTCTCGAAACATTGGTAAAATGAGGCAAAACGTTTTATGAGAGTAGTTTTTTACTGTCCGCTCAGTTTCAAAATCATTTTCAAAGCTATTCGAGAACATTGGTCTTATAACATAAGTGCCACGGGCAAGGAAGGGCTATACCCGCTAGTATAATATATAATACTTAATTCGCCAATCGAACGATCTTTGATCTTACGAAGATAGATATGTCTTAGGAAAATTAAGGTTTAAAGTTCACATTCCGCCCAGAACATGGTCACGGTAGGGTCACAAACTGTGCAGTGGTCCGGGGTAATTCACTCCCTATAGCTCTTCATATATGCCCGTTAAGGGAAATAATTAGCACTTGACCATACAGCAATTGTCAATAATTAACATAATGGAACCATAAATTGCGAAAGTTCACCCTAGAAGAAAGTCCAATTGACACAAACAATGCGAAAGAAAGCAGGCAAAAAAGAAAAATGAAAATAAGTATTATCATTGGGTAGCATAATAAATTCTAGAGAAAGCGCAAAATGTAACGCCACATAAATTAATATGAAATGTGCATATGGGCGTTCGGAGCTGGATGGCGATGCTTATCTCCAACAATTGCAACCAGTTGCCAGTTGCCAGTGAAAGTGAGCCCATCACATGGCGGACAGTGAAAGAATGGGCCTTAATTACGCTACACTGCCCCACCCAAATTGTAGAAAGCATGTCCGTTTGCCTGGACATGACAGTGGCTAGCCTATGGGCCATTGGAGTCGCTTCTTTGGTTAATTACCAAGATGTATGCGTGTCGCGCACAGCAGCCCAATTAACCCCCATTATGGGCGACTGCGCTTGTGGGTGACGATGACCACAACGACAACGACGACGCCACAACACTTCAACCCCAGCTCCAGCTTCAGCAGCACTTGTCCTGGGCGTGTGAGCTCAGGCGCTGCACGAGGTCAAGCGTTCGCTTGGGCAAGTAATTAAGATTTCTGCGTGGTTCCCTGCCCCACAACAACAACAGCAACAGTCGTGAGCAACAAGCAGCACATATCCATAAACACGCTCTATGCAACGCAAACAACTCAGAGCGTTACGCGCCCAACCCCTTCAGCCCCCCTCGAAACACCAAATTGCTTTATGATGTTGCAGATTATGATAATGAATGCCATCTGGACTTGCACTGGACACTGTGCAGGCAGCCAAGGGCGCCTCTGTGGCAGCCACAACGTTGACACTTTAAGTGATTTAATGTTATTGTTTTCGTACAGCTCGCCAGCTATACGACTTCTTATAGTAAGTGCCACATACTTCCTCCCCCGTCCACCACTTGACAGCTAGAGTCTGAATAATTTAATGAATATTAATGCGTAACATTTAATTGAAATGCTTCGTACTTGTAAAGCATGAAGCCTCTCTGTATTGGAACGCAAATATTATAAACAGATTTAAGAAAAAAATTAAAAGAATATATTAAATAAAGCAAATAACTGCTCTTAATCAAAGATAAGTGTGTTTTTAAGGTCTGTGTCAAGAACTAACGCTTACATAAATTACTATCCGTAATCGACAAAAAATAACAACATTTGTACAACTCTTAATTTAAAACCAAATCTTTTTCCAATAAGGCAGGGAGAGAGAAGCTTTAAAGGAGAGAACTAGTTAAAAATGTTTTAAAAAAAAGTACATAAATTGAAAATAATAAACATATTATAATAAACAAAGAAAAAACGATGTATACAGAAATAATCTAGAGGGAAAATGATTCACCATTAAAATATGTTCAATTTTTACCAAGTTATACGTCGAAAGACCTAGAAGGAGGCTGTTTTATATAAAATATATAAATTATGATAAATAAATAAACGATAAAATAAATAGATAGATAATAAAAAAAGCATTATTATAATATAAAAAATAAAATTAATTTAAAATGCAGATATGATCTTGACAGAAACTCATTCAGCATTGATATATATTCAACTTTTACCAATTTCTGGCTGATTTGACCAATTTATAATATAATACTATTCGCCGTTTCAACAGTTGTCTCTCTTATCGGGCTAATGTATCCAATTTAACATTTTGTGCTGGCCTTTTTCGACATGGAAGGGAAATAAATCCGACGCCGTTAGCCAAACTCCACTGAACTGTGCTCAGGGACAGCCTCCCTCCTCGCCCCCCCCCCTCTCCAACCCTCCAAAACACCCCCACACACACACCTCTCTCTGTGTGTGTGTGTGAGAAGCGCTTTTGAAATGTTTTTGATTGGAAAAAATTTAATTTCCTACACGCTGACAGAGTGCGCTTATCGGCCGCAGCATTGTGTCAAAAAATTGTCAATTTTTTCCGTAAGGTTGTTTTTTGTTTAAATTTTTTTTTTTTAATTTAAATTGAGTGCGGCTGTGAATGGAAAGCATTTAACAGATATCTAAACTTTTTTATATACGATATGTTGTAATCGCAGAAAAGCTACCCAAACCACAATTAAGCGCCAGCTCTTGACAACAATGAAGCAAAACTCAAATGCAAAAATTTATAGACAGTTGCCAAATATAATTTTTTTTTTTTTGCAGTTTTCTCATTTTTAAAAATTGCACAAAGCGCATAGCTTCAATTACGATTTGAAGTTTCCATTTGTTGCGCGACGACAGCCAATAGGGGAGATGAAATCAAAAAAAAAAAGAAGAAAAAGAAGGTTCATTAAACGCCTGGCTGTTGCCAACCAATTTTCGCATTCATGAAAATTCGCTGCCCGCACAAAAAGCGGCTCGAAAGAAAAAAAAAATTAAAAAAACCGCAAAGCGTGGAGTGAAATTCATTTTTTCCATTAAATCGAACCGTTGATTGTGCATGAAGCGCACAGGCACAAATGTCAACGCTCGGTTAGATGGCACCAGCCTGATAGGTTGCCAGCTCCCAATGCTCCACCCGCCCTCTTTCTCCCACCCCTTTACCAGCTTATCCGCATGTGGAGTGCCTGAGTGGCAAAACGCGTCGACTGCTGTCACATACGAGTGGCAAAAGCCCACCCAGGGGAGTATTTTTTCCAGCGCACAACAATTCCGACTGTCGCAACACCCTACCCCAAACAAAACGCAGCTCAAACTGAGTTTGACCAGCGAAGCTGGCTCATGTGCTGGATGTAGATCTATATACTATGCAAGTTTTTGGCATGTCTTTCTTTTTTTTTGCTATACTCTTGAAATTCGATACGAACCGAAATGGCTTTTTGACAAACAATGACACGAACCTCACCTCCTACTATTTGGGGGCGCATTTGTTACGATTTTTCGCCTTTTTATTTTTTATTTGGCTCCCATTGAGAATCGCATTTGCAAATGAATTGCTTATTGACAGTTTGATAGAATGTTGCCCGGTTGACAGTTGGCTTTTGTTGTCCCGATACGGTTTGCCTTTTGTTATTCTTTAATTATTCGTTTGCAACATAAAGAAAGTAAAAGTAAGCAGCACATTCAACTTTAAGGAACTCAATTGTTCCAAGCATAGACGAGACTGATATTAAATTATGCTATATGTGACATAATCTTAAGTGTGGAGTTTTAAATTTACATTTTTGATACAAATTTCAAACTCAGACTGTTGTATAAAATCCTAATATATAAGCACATATAAAAAGCTAATATATTACCATATATTTCCTATTACCAGGATTTAAGTTTTGTAAAAAGCGATAGAACTTACCAACTTTAAGATGTTTAAGACCTGAAGAAAGAATGTCAAATGTGATAAATACGAGAAAATGTTGTTTTTAATATAATATCTTACTTAAAATTGTAAAATAGAAAATTTTTAAAAAATTGAACCTAAGTAAGAGGTTCTAGTCGGGAGCTCCCGACTAGGGGATACCTTGAACCCTCTTCTTCCAACATCAAATGCATATATATTCTATTTTAGAAGCTATATGTCAAGTTTGGTGACTCTAGCTCTTATTATTTATCAAAATTGCCCAAAAAACAGGATATCGATATCGATTTTTATCGATTGCTTGGAAACGGAGTAAGTTATCGATTATCGGAAATAAACTTGATCTGCGCGGGAGCTAGGAGCACCTACATCATTTCAAGTCTCTAGCTCTTTTAGGTTCTGAGATCCTTCCGTTCATACATACGGACGGACGGACGGACAGACAGACGGATATAGCTAGATCGACTCGGCTATTGATGCTGATTAGGAATATATATACTTTATGGGGTCGAAGATGCTTCCTTCTGCCTATTACATACATTTGGAAATCGCACAAATACAATATACCCTTATACCCATTTTTAATGGGTTCAGGGTATAAAAACTCTTGTAACTATTTTATTATTGTAGAGAGTTTTTAAACTAAGTAATATTTTTACGAAATAATTATTTATTAAAGTACAACAAAACGGGTTTCAACCTAAATACTTCACTTCATACTGCATAAATATAGAAAATTCAAAATTACAAGTATAAGCAGGATGCAAAAATTTGGAAGTAAAAATTATTTCATGATTTATTTTAATAAGTTTTCTGACTCATTCATTAATTTTATAAGTATCCATGCAATATTAATAGAACTCAAATTAATAATATATTGTTCATTAGACTATTTTTGGTTTAATTTTCTGACAAAGTGTAATAGGTTTTCTACTCATACTAGACCTCTGAAAGCTCAAACATGACTGTTGCTCAAGATCGTTCCATTAACTTTTTGAGCAGTTCAACAGTTGTCCATTTTTTGAGCACCCTTTCGCCTGACTGCACACTGCAGAGCCACGCACTTCAAAATTTGTCGCATTTCCCCTATCATTACACAGAGATGGGCGACAGAATAATAATTATAAATTCGCATTGCAATTAACAACTTGGCTTTACGTTCAATTTAATGCATGCAAAATCCATTAAATCACTTAAAATGCACAAATCTCGCGTTGCATTAAAAAACGCTAAAAAGCGAGCATTTGAGAATTTGAGAGCACTTCAGAGCAATGACATATAATACGACTACAAACAGTTGCCGTGGAGATGATGTTGGCTGCAAAGTCAGGACAGGGCCAGGACATGCACAGGAGCAGACTACCGCACCGTGCTGCCTGATGTCGATGATAATGTAACACACAACACTCAGGCCCCTTTTCCTCCTGAAAAGGGAACTAGACAAAGCAGGGCCGTGGCAAAACAGCCAAAGGGTTGGACATGCGTGCAAAATCCTTGAACAAGGGTAAATGGAAAAGCACCGCATAACGAATTGTCACAGTTTCCAAATTTAATTACAGGCATGCAAATGAAGACATGACTGGACTTTACAGATTAATCAGATCTATAATAATTTAGCTACTATGTCAGTGTTGCCAAATGACTCTTCAAAAACGAAACTATTTCCAATGTTAGAAATAGAACAAAATATCTGAAGTAGCTTTCCGAACACACATAGTTGCCAGTAATTGTCAATCAATAAATTTGAAATACCAACTGATATCCTCTGAATATAGATAAATTTAGTTGAATCGTTAACACTGTTTAGTTCTCTTCTAGTTCATTCAAGTAGCTGCCTTTCCACAGTTGGTACTACAACTTTGTATCTTTCTGGCATCTCTCGCCCTTGCCTGAACGAACTGTAAGTAATTAGCACTGTTAGTTGGCTCCTGGTTCTATTCACTAGTTCCCTTTACAGAGTAGTTCACTTGGATTTTAAGTTTCAATCTATCTGGCAGTCCTAACATAGTCTTGTAACTGGCGCTTGTCGCCCTTGCCTGAACTGTAATTAACCCATGTTTCCATCTAACTGCCAGATTAATAAAGCACATTTGTATGACAGCCCTTTTACTAGCTTCATTTAAATGTTAACTTACTGCCCTCCCCAAATTTTTGGCGCATGTTCATCAGCAAACTGTCAAAATTGAAATTTAAAAATGTCAAAAAAGCTGACACGTACCCACGTTTGCAATCCAGATGCGATTTCATATGTGAATGATGTCATGCATGAATAACTGATAAGAAAATATTGACAAAGAGTTCACTGAAAATGCGAAAAGTCTAGGGTAGAATATTTTGTAGGTCTTCAATTTACATTTAATAATTTCAAATATATGCATAGATATTTAAAGCCTTTTGTATACGAAGAAATTTGTACATTTGTTTGTTTTTCAATGAACCAAATTTGTTTTGTATTGGATAAGATAAAGAAAGCGAAGAGTGCCCTTTTGAGAGTCAACAATGCAAGCATATTTTCACAAATTTAAAATATATTTAAATACTTACGTAAATACCTGTATTCAGACATACATTGCTGAAAAAATTGTATAATAATACCAAGTTGTTTTTCACAAAGCAGTTAACTGCAGTCAGCTCGAGACAATTGTTCTTCACTGTACCAATAAACAACCAAACTTTGTGCCCCACATTGTCAACTTATAAGCCACCAAATACTTTCACCAGTGCTTAAAGCTCATAAAAGCAAGTTATTAAAGAAAAATGGGCATAATTTTGAGTCGCAGCAACGGCGACTAAGGAGTACTAATGGAGCTGGTGCCCAGCGAGTAGACCATTTGCAAATTGCCGAAAATTGTTGGCCAGCTGCGGCCCGTTGCCCAAAAAGGTGGGCGGGATTTTTCAATTAGCCTAAAACCAGCTGACAAAAAGGCTGAAAAGCTGGTGACTAAAATATTTAATACCTTTTATCCAGCCTCATAATTCGCATAATGACAAAAAGTCTCATTTGGTAATTTAGGCAGTGGGTGGCATAGAATCAACCCCAGCCACATTTGGCTGACCAGCCGGATGCACTTCAACTTTCCACCCTGTTGCGTACAATCAAACGTGTGGCAGGTGAGAGGCGGGGCGGGAGAGTGAAAGAGGACACCCGCCGGCACACGACAGCCGTCGTCGCCGTCGTCGGATTGTTGCAAAAGTGCGAAACCGCAAATGTTAAGCGCAACACAGAAGTCAATGCCACCCCACCACCCAAACAAACCCACCGACAAACCGCAAATGCCTCACGACGCGCTACGCTGTCGACCCACTCGATGCATCGTCGACAAAGCTCTTCAATTTGCTTGCCATCTATTATGGCAGCTCATTGTGGGATTACCGACCCACAACCACTAAGCAACCACTAAGCGTGGTTGGGCCGCGTTGTCGTTGGCGTTAACATTGACGTTGGCTGTGGCAGAGGCCGGGGGAGCGGCAGCAGCAGGGGCAGAGTCAGCAGCAAGGGCAGCAGGCCGGGGCGTTCAGCAATTGCTAATAAAAAGGGTGGAAAATCCACTTTGCTATGGCATTTGATTTTGATTTTTCTCTCTGTTTGTCCATTGACTCTTGGGAGTTGAATGCGGTTTGACAGCAGAAGGGGAACAAAGAGGGAGATACATTTCGTCCGCTGACGTTTGATGTCATCGGATAAGGATAGGTTCGCATACAGCCAGTCAGGTAAATTTCATGAGAATGGGAGAAATACTGTCATAAATAGTTATATATTATTATATTCTAAAATAAATTATCTCCAAAAGCTTAGAAAACGGCTTTGATACTGAACACACAACTTTCATACAAACATTTTCCGCCAATTAACAATGTTGCGGGAGGAATTTCCCAAATTGTGTAAACACGTATTCATTAAGTTTTTATATAGAGCTTTGAAAATAATTTTGACGCATATCGGAAAAAAATTAAAAGATCACAAAAAAAAATCTTTGAATTGCACTTTTTACCCAGGATGCTTTAATCCTGCGAAAAATTTGAAACAGGTCTCAAATAATTTTTCTAATAGATACTTAAAAATGACCCACCAAAACATTGACCCCCATTTTCACCAAGGAGGGATGAATTTTCTCCGAAAAGAATTTGAGCAAGGATATTTGAATAGAATTTTGAAGCCGACGGAATTTGCCAAGTCGCTGAAATATGTATTCATTAAGTTCTTATGTAGAGCTTTAAAAATAAGTTTGAAGTTTAAATAATAGTTATAATGTGTACATAAATAAGTATATCAATCTAAAATGAATTACAAAGATCTTTAAGCTCTATAATTTTATGTTTTTAACAACACTTTTTTATTATAATAATTGACAATTAGATGCAGATTAAGTAAATATAGTTTCAGCTAAGAAATCGTTGTTTCGATCTAAAATCGAGACCTAACCCAATAAAAAAAACTAACTAGAGAAGCTAATTCATCAGCACAAAGTTAAGCGGCTTCTGGTTGGGGTGACTGATGGGCATTTGGAAGGACGCTTGAACAATGAATGAATGGCATCCAGCTGAGTGAGTTCGTCTGTGCAGGTCTTTACAGGATTACACTCGATTACAGGATACATTACAAGCGACGACGGGTGGGCAACAGTTAGGCAACATGCATACATAGGTAGCCAACACCCGCTGGGAATGATCAATCAATTCGCATCAAATTTGATTTTATCCAACTGACTGAATCGAATCCGTGTGTTGCGGGGTGGAAACGGGGAAACGCGGGATTCTATTATTATGATTATTGCATTGCGCTTGATGTGGAAAATGGAAGCCATGTTAATTATGAAATTGCGATTTGGTTTTCAGTTTGACCAAGCTGCAATTAACCACTAAAAACTGGACGGCAAGCCGAAGCGATTGTCCGGCAAACAAATCATTTTGTGGGCAGCGATATGAATAAACAAAAAAAAACATCAGAACACAAAACACAGCCCATAGACATTTTGATTTGGGTTTTCGTCTGGACTTAATGAAAAACGGAAATGCTACTTGTTTTATTTTCTCATTCAACATCCTCGTGAATGCCCCGCCGCAATAGCTTTTGCTTTTTGCGTATGATTACATCTGAGCATGGGCGGGATTGTGGCGGGGGGTAGCTTACTGTTTGCTTATGTACTTTGTTTTTAGCGATTAATTAATGCAATTAATCTGCAGCTGGATTCGTGTCTTGAGACTTGAGCCAGTTGCCCTTCAGTTTTGATGAAATTGTTTGTGCGCATTTCTGTGTATTCCTCTGAAAAAGCCCCTGCCCAGCCCAACAGGCGCCTGGCAAAGATTAAGTCGAGCTTATTGGTAATAAAGAAATTTATTAATGCGCACCGAATGTGTATACATACATTAATATACCATGCAACAAGAAATTAATTAGCTAATTAAGATATAGTCAGACAGTAGAAAAAACAAAAAACTATCCTCAGAGGCAGTGTGGCAATATTTACATTATAGCATAATTAGAGATTATCTTGAGCAATAAAAAAAATAATCCTTGACAAAGAAACGCACATAAGAAACACATAGTGCCTAAAATGAATTGAATATGAGTTTTTATATGGCTTGCAAAATATATTTATATTAATTTGTAATATTGCACTTTGCTATTCATTCAAAATTTCGAAAATTTCACCAAGTAAACTCATCTCCCTGGGCCAACCGAGTGTTAAGATAGACTAAGATTACGAGCTGAATGAATAGCTACAAGGGATAATTTGTCAATCAGTTGCTTCGCATTGCTGCAAGCGATCAGTTCGGTATTTAAGAAGCATACGGAATTGCAATTTTTACCGGCATTATCAGTAAAATTCTTCGATTCATAATGTTATCAGGTGTAATTTTGATAATATTAGCGGCGTATCAACTGTGTAAGCATTGCATGTTTGGTTTTATTTCTGAATGAGGCTTATCTTAACGATAATTAACATCGAGAAAGTAGAGCTTAAATCTAGCAAAAATATATATGTATTAGATAGTACGCAGAGCACTTAAAATTTCTTCGTTTCTGAAAATAAAATATTTGAAATTTTGCATAACTAAATTAAATTTAATTTAATCCAAAGTCGGAACCACATTATATTTTAGGTTGTTTTATCTTCTAATTTATATATAATCTATTTATTTATTAATTTTGTGATATACCAAACATAAAAATAATAAATAATAAATAAGCCAATTTATTAATTAGAGCACACAGTAACATGTTGCTTTTCTTCTCGAAATGCATCTATTCTTAGCCCTTCTCTCTTACCCTCTCTCTCAAATATAACTTACTTATCTGTTAATCCCACTCCAAGTAAAGGTTTCTCAGAATGCATCTATTCTTAGCTTCTTCTGTCTCTTAAATACGTATATTTTCTACTGTAGCTTTTATTGGAGCTGCTGATAATTTATTTTCATGCTGGAATGGCGAATGCATTCCGGAGAGGGCTAAGTGCAATGGCGTACTGGATTGTGAATATGGCAGCGATGAGACCTTTCTGGAATGCTATAATAATACCTGCGACGAGTCTGCCTACTTTCGCTGCAATTACGGGGGCTGCATCCTGGACCAGCTAAAATGCAATGGAGAGTCCGACTGTTTGGACGGAAGTGACGAGAACAAATATTTGTGTGCAGACGATAATCAACTTGATTCCTTACTAAATGAATTACGCGGTGAGTGCAGGTGAGTTGGCCAAAAATATGCTTAAGCTTTATTCAAATCGAGACAGCGAACCGGTTCGAGGCTGTAATTCATTTATTCCTTATTTCTAATGGGAACCAAACATTGAACTGAATCAGCTGCCTAAAAAATTGCCGAAGATAAAAGCGTTTGCTCAAAGATAAATACTTGTTTTTGTTCACGAATCGAAAATGAGGTATTCACTTGATTTTTGAGCCAAATCGAACAGATAATACATACTTAAGCCTTGAAGCTTGACAATAATATATTTCCCTATTCGTATGCAGCCCTGCCCACGCCGTCAGCTGTGACAAGAAGTGCCTAAAGTGGAGTCGGGTGTGTAATGGCCACAACGATTGTACGGATAGCTTTGATGAATCTGCGGAGCTATGCACCGTCAGTCAGTGTCCAGCCGATTCGTTTCGCTGCAAGAATGGCGCCTGCATCAATGCCGGTTCCTTTTGTAATCATGTGCTCGACTGTGCCGATGGCAGCGATGAGATACCCTCTATATGCCGCAAACTTGGTGAAATGGTGGCCAAGATGGACACATGCCCACAACTATTAAGCGAACAGTTGCCACAGTCGACACCGACTAAGGAAGAGTCTAGTGTATGGCAGACGGACACCTGTTCGCTGGAAACAAGTGAGGGCAGACTTGTAAGGGATTACTTCTCGGGCTTTGAGTTTGGCCCAGCTGACGGAGTGCCAGGCGGCAGCATCGTGGAAGTGAGCTGTAATGAGGGCTATGTGAATTTCGGCTCGACCATCAATAGATGCATGAAGAGCCAGTGGCATCACGAGGGTTTCGGCTGTATGCGCCTGTGCAGCCAAAAGGATGATATAGCCAAGGCACACTTTGCGACGCAGTGCATCCACGATGGCCATTTGGTGAACTGTCAAAGTGATTCGCAATTATTCGGCACAGAATTGATTGTAACCTGCGCAGACGGCTATAAAAGTGCGCTGGTAACTAGTAAACCAGGTGAACATAGCTGCAATGAGATGGGCACCTGGACAACTATGGTAAGCAATCCCGAATGTGAGCCTATCTGTGGCATTAAGTCGGCACAACATCCTCAACTTTTCCCATGGACTGTGAGCATATTTCAAAGAAACTCAAACAACGCAGCAATCTATGACTTTAGATGTGCGGGCACCATTGTCTCCGCCCAATTCGTAATTACAGCAGCAGCCTGTTTCACCGATCAATTAAATAGTACGGAGCAACAACTGAACTACAACATTGTTCAGGGAAATCATAGCATCAGCTACAGCCTGAACGAAGATCATGGCTATGTTCTACACAACATCAAAAATATACACACGTTGGCCGTGTAAGTATTCCCTGAAATACTTAGCCCAACTACGCTTAACTTTAACTCTCTATAGAAATTCGGCCAAAAAATTAGTCTTACTTCAACTGACAGGATGGTTTAGCTTGGGCGCTAAAGTGAGACCCATTTGCTTGGCTGATTCAAAAGCAGCGCTTAATATAAAAAGATTGGGTGACTTTCAGAATTATCAGCTCGGTGGGGCTCGGACGTTATACGACAACAATAAATATATTTTAACGCATATTGCCATTAAGAATACGACTTTGTACAATATAAATCAATTTCTGATGCCCATTCAACGGAAAATAAAAAATACAGTCGCTTGAAATTTGATAAAAAGGCGAAAATAAAAGATTTCCTTATCTATATAAAATATTTATATATCTACATCTATATCTACATTTATATCTATATCTATATCTATATCTATATCTATATCTATATCTATATCTATATCTATATCTATATCTATATCTATATCTATATCTATATCTATATCTATATCTATATCTATATCTATATCTATATCTATATCTATATCTATATCTATATCTATATCTATATCTATATCTATATCTATATCTATATCTATATCTATATCTATATATATATCTATATCTATATCTATCTATATCTATATCTATATCTATATCATATCTATATCTATATCTATATCTATATCTATATCTATATCTATATCTATATCTATATCTATATCTATATCTATATCTATATCTATATCTATATCTATATCATATCTATATCTATATCTATATCTATATCTATATCTATATCTATATCTATATCTATATCTATATCTATATCTATATCTATATCTATATCTATATCTATATCTATATCTATATCTATATCTATATCTATATCTATATCTATCTATATCTATATCTATATCTATATCTATATCTATATCTATATCTATATCATATCTATCTATATATATCTATATCTATATCTATATCTATATCTATATCTATATCTATATCTATATCTATATCTATATCTATATCTATATCTATATCTATATCTATATCTATATCTATATCTATATCTTTAGTTTTACATATCTTCATCTACATCTTATATCCTCAAACATCTTGTCTCTTTTCTTTAGATTGACTCATAGCCATCTACTTTGACATTACCATCCCAAACGAAGCCGCAGTTCATCGCAACTCATTTCGAATCGCCCAGTCATTATGGCTTGTAGTATCTATTAGCACTTAAACAAATTACCATATTAATTGCTACTAATTAAAAATGCATTAAAACACAGAGCTCTGTCCGTATCAGAGCCGGAATCGCACTCGGGGAGTCTGGCAATTTATTATGCTTTGTCATCTCTGTGTTGCCAGGACCAAATGTGCAAAATGATAATAATAAATATTTTCATATTCATTTTCATAATGCCACGATATCAATGAGTTCATAAAGAGCCACTGTCCGCACTGTGTACTTTCAATTAAAAGCCAACTTTTAGCCATAATTCAAAAACTAAAGTATACAAAACGAGTTTTGCGGCGAAAGTTTCAATCGCATCGATTTGCATAGACCGAGGGGGTTGTCAAATGTATCTGCACATAAGGATGTAAGCAAATATCTATATATATACTCATACCGTTCTACCACCCAACCAGGCGCACCTGTAACATCTGCGCTCCACCGCAAATTTCGCTATTCATGCCATAAATTTCTGCTGTGTGGCACATTAATTAATTTGCTTTGCGGCATTTCAAAAGGATTATTTACCGCTCATTTCAGATGAGTCAGTGTGTGTGTGTGTGCTAGTCAATAGGCTTAAGTTAGGAGAGTGTGTGGCCGTGTGTATACTTATATATGTGGGTGACTTGTATTTCGATATGCAAAGGTATTTAAATGCTTTTAGCACTCGATACAAATTACATATTTGTAGTCTGTCCATGGAGACTTATGGTCTTATATTTAAATATATGTTAGACTTACTCAAGTCATAATTTTAACTTCAGATAAATATTTTGTTTATCCTTTTTAAAAGCTTTTTTACATCTTTGTTTGTCACATCTTTTCTTTCTACTCATTATATCTCATTAAAATTACCCCTGACCGCTGAGCAGCACTCAGTCTCAGCTGCGTGTCGAGAAAGTTTATGACATTCTTAAATCTAATGAACAAAAATTAATTTACAATAATAACTCAGCTAACACGAAACGATGGCACAGGCTGCTAACAACCTCAAGCCCCAAAGGCCCATCCAATAATCCGACAGCTCCAGTTTCAGCCAATGAAAGAGTTACGCCGTGTGCCCACAGTCGGGCCCAGAGGGAACGGGGCGGCGACGCCATTTCAAAGTGTTTCCGTTTGCAATTTGCATAAAATTCGTTAAAATATCTTACGGCATTAATGAGCTGGCCGGAGGGAGTTAGAACGTTACCTGTTGCCCGGTAAAATGTCATCGACTGTACCCAGTGGAGCTCAAGTGTAAATGGATCGCCTTGTGGTATCCGGTAATTGAGTGTAATTAGATCCTGCCCCAAAAAAACACAAATGACAAACACTTTAAGCCTGTGGTTACTCGGTGGGTGGTATTGTGGTTGCCCGTGGTTGCCATGTGGTTAGGCGATGCCAAAGCTCAAACCAGAAGCTGAAACATTCTTCAGCCTCAGCCCTCTCAACCCTTTGCCTTTTGTCTTTGTCGCATTTTGTTTTTAATTATGTAGCGTGAATAATTTTGCTCTTTGTCTCATCTATTTACGAGTCATTGATATTCCTTTTCTATGCTTTAATTGGTGGAAATTCTGTTGTAATTAAATACAGTTGGAGCTTAATTGGGTTTTGGATAAGCGGAAAAGAATGTGCGTAGGAAATTGTTCAATGTGCTTTAGAATATCTATGTAGATGATATTAATGTCAGTATGGTAAAGATGGTTTTGTCAGTAAGTAGAAGGATACATATCTTTAAAGCTTTTATAATAACAGTTTGCATTGTCTTTCTCTTGTAGATAATACAAATGGCAATGATACAATATGGTAAGGTATGGTATAAAGTTCTTGTATGAAGAAAAATCTTGGTAAAGGACCTATATGGGATTGACTAGCTTCATAATATTTTTGTATGCCAACTGATTTTATTTCGAGCTTTGCAAAGGATTTCAGATATATTCAAATATTCTGAATTGTGTTTTAAACCCCAAACCCATTAAAAATGTCTATAAGGGTATATTGTATTTGTGCAAAATCCAAATCTGTGTAACAGGCGGAAGGAAGCATCTGCGACCCCATAAAGTATATATATTCTTGATCAGCATCAATAGCCGAGTCGATCCGCCATGTCCGTCTGTCTGTCCGTCCGTCAGTCCGTCCGTATGTATGAACGCAAAGATCTCAGAACCTGTAAGAGCTAGAGACTTGAAGACTTTTAGATGTAGGTGCTCCTAGTGCCTGCGCAGATCTAGTTTGTTTCCCATAATCGATAACTTACTCCGTTCCCAAGCAATCGATAAAAATCGATATCGACATCCTGTTTTTTTGAGCAAATTGGCTAAATAATTAGAGCTAGAGCCACCAAACATGATATATTGCTTTAAAAATATTATATATACGTCAAGTATCTTTCATTTTGTACCTATCGCCACCTCCCCGCTACCACCCCAGAGCTATAAGTCAAGTTAATAACCCAACTTTTATTGCCAACCAATTTAAACCACAAATTAAATGCTATTGACTTTTACAGAATACACAAATATTCTATGGTACAATAAGATATACTGTAGAAAATTTCATAAAGATCGGTTAAGAAAAAAACAAACTTATATGCAACTGCACAATTGAATAGGGCAGCAGCTTTAAGAATTTCTGTATACATGTACACACACACATTTATGCGCGTCTGCTTCGCATTCTAACTGCATGGTAATTGCGACTTTTTTCTGTAATGGTATTTTAGTTTCTTTTTTATTATAACTGCTTAATTATTGGTATAGCTGCTGAGTAGAGGCATAGCAAGTGGTGCGGTTTGTCGCGAGTTCGAGCCCCACCGGGGAAACATTTTTTTTTTGCTGGTGCAGCTGTTGAGTAGAGTCGACAGGAAGAATGCGGTCAGTTGCGAGTTCGAACCCTGCCAAGGGAACTTTTTGTTATTAATTTATTTGATGTTGGAATAAGAGGGTTCAGGGTATCCCCTAGTCGAGAGCTCCCGACTAGAACCTCTTACTTGGTTTTTATTTGTAAAGCTAAACTAATTATATTTTCACTTTTTGTCAATCGCTCACAATTTAATAAAATGCAATTCTTGTGATTCATGTCATTGGCAGCCTATATTGCTAGCAAATCTTCTGCTAGCGTATCAATAACCAAATTTAATTTCTCAACCCCTCCATGATATATCATCATTCAAAATAAATGTTTCACATGATATGTTCCCAATCTTATCAGATCCTAAATTTTGGCCTCCACACATGATTGTTCACGAGTTCAAGCCCAACGAGAAAGAAAGGCTAAATTCGGCACGCCGAAGATCTAATACCCTTGCAGACCCAACCTTTTCATAATGCTAATAGTGCTTTACCCGTATCTAAGAAGCACAGGGAAAATAGAGTTTGGGCAAGATATCTTGATAAACAAAAAGGTTTTTAATCAAAAACCTTGTTTTCGACCGATCGTTCCTATGGCTGATATATGATATAGTAGTTCGATGTAAATACGATTTTGCAAAAATGATGGGAGCATAGTGAAATCTTTAAATGCCGTATTTAATCAAAATATCTTGAATGACAAAAAGTTTTCCATACATCAACTTAATTTTCGGCCGATCGTTCCTATGGCAGATATATGATGTAGTGGACCGATCTTAATAGGATTTTAGATGTATATGAGGAGCATAGTAAAACTAATAAATGCCGAGTTTGGTCAAGAAATCTTGAAAAACAAAATGTTTTTTCATACAACAACTTAATTTTCGACCGATTGTTCCTATGGCAGCTTTATGAAATAGTGGTCCGATCTTAATCGAATTTTGGATATATATAAGGATTATAGTAAAACTAATAAATGCCGAGTTTGGTCCAGATATCTTGAAAAACAAAATGTTTTTTCATACAACTTTATTTTCGACCGATCGTTATTATGGCAGCTCTATTATATAGTGGTTCGATCTTAATAAGATTTTGCATATATATGAGGAGCATAGTACAAAAATAAATGCCAAGTTTGGTCGATATCTTGAAAAACAAAGTGTTTTTAATACAAAAACTTAATTTTCGACCGATCGTTCCTATGGTAGCCTTATGATCCGATCCAGCTGGTTTTGACATATATCGGATATACTTCCTTC